AAGTCCACTGTCTTATTGCTGAGTGTTGTAGGATTTTCCATAATATTTCTTTGTGGTGAACTCCTTGTTATCTTTCAACCCTTTAGGGTTACTGAAACTTTCGATAGACAGTCAAGGTTGTTATTTTTGGCTTTTGATTGATTGCTGGTGGTTAAACTGTGCTCATTTTCTAAATAATCCCGGAGAAGATTGAGCACATAATTGAGGCACTTAGTCATAAAATCAAACGGCTTAATGGTATCGTACTAAGGTCACCCTTCTCTAAATATGAAACAAAGATTGTCAGCAAATGGTTCCTAATAGCCCTCCTTTTTACGTTTTGACATATTAAATCAGTATGTGGTCAAGGAGGTGTTCTGCTTTGACTTTACTCTGTCTTTGACTTGCTGTTTTGTTTTCATATCTCTAGTAAGTATTAAAAATATGTATATTCTCCCAATGTCATCAACGCTTTATAGATGCTACACTTGTGCAGCATTAAAGCAGTATTAAACCCAATAACAATTATTTATTATATTGCAATTTACTGATTTTTAGTTGTGATGACTGCATTAGTTTTTTCTCTTTTAGGCTTTTTTTCTTTTAATCTGGTAATCCAGCCAGAAAGTCTGTTTGTTTTCAAAAGCACAAGCTCTCCAGCAGAATGTATCGGCTTTCGTGAATGAGACAAACCATTTAGTGCTAGCAGGAGTGAATAAAATGATCTGCTTTATTTATTCATGTAAAACCTTTATCCCAAAAGGAAAAAAACTGATGTACCTACTTATAGAGAATGAGCTGGAGTCTGGCTTCATTCTGTTAGTGCATTCAAATCTGCTGATACATTTAACAGTCCCACCTCCACCCAGACTGACAACGCCACTATCTGCTGTGCCTTCTGTGCTCAGTCTTCCAAAGTCATGGCTCCTTAATACAGGAAGTGTGTTACTGGCCAGATCACCAGGTGAAAACAGGGGGGGGGGGAAGCCAAAGAAATGAAAACCGATGCAGCCACCACATTGAATGATTGGTAAGCTGCAGTATAATAACATTTTTTTTTGTTTTAGACTTAATACCATGTTAACACTTCAAGAGATCATTTTAAGTTTATTAATTATTATTATTTATAAAGCGCCAATAGTTCGCTCAGCGCTGTACATTACAAAGGGGGACAGAACATGTGACAGAACAATACCAATACAATGCAAAACATGAGGGGATTGAGGGCCCTGCTCTTTCGAGCTTACAATCTAGGAGGGAGGGGGTGGTGGCACAGGAGGAGAGCTGTGGGGATGGAGTGGTAGGAAGAGTGGAGGAGGTCGGCAAGTTAGCAGGGGGTGGGGTAGGCTTCCCTGAAGAGATGGGTTTTCAGGGTGCGCCTAAAGGAGAGGAGAGTAGGTGATAATCTGATGGGTTGGGGCAGGGAGTTCCAGAGGATGGGTGACACCCTGGAGAAGTCCTGGAGGCGGGCATGGGAGGAGGAGACCAGGGAACTAGAGAGAAGGAGGTCTTGTGAGGAGCGGAGTGTGCATGCTGGGTGGTACTTGGATATTAGGTCAGTGATGTAGTTCGGGGCAGTATGGTGGACAGCTTTGTACGTCAGCGTTAGGATTTTGAATTTGATCCGTTGCGCAATTGGAAGCCAGTAAAGGGATTGGCAGAGGGGGGTGGTGGAGACAGAGCGGTTGGAAAGGTGAATGAGTCTGGCAGCCGTATTCAGGATGGACTGAAGCGGGGATAGCCTGTGGCGAGGCAGGCCAGTGAGGAGGGAGTTGCAGTAGTCGAGTCGTGATATGATGAGGGAGTGGATGAGCTGTTTAGTGGTTTCTGGAGTTAGGAACGTGCGTATTTTGGCGATGTTGCGGAGGTGGAGTCTGCACGAGTTTGTTAAAGATTGGACTTGGGGTTGAAAGGATAGGTTGGAGTCCAAAATGACACCAAGTACTCTGGCCTGCAGGGCGGGTTTGATGGTAGCGTTGTTGGATGTGACGGAGAAATCAATGGGGGGTGGTGTCCGGGCTGGGGGGAAGACAAGGAGCTCGGTTTTGGAGAGGTTCAATTTAAGGAAGTGGAGCGACATCCAGTCTGATATGTCGCTCAGTAGGTGTGTGATTCGGGCTGAGACCAAGGGGGTGAGGTGGGGGGTTGAGAGATAGATTTGTGTGTCGTCAGCATAGAGGTGGTAGTTGAAGCAATATTAATACATTAAAGCCCAGCTCCTGCTAAACCCTTTTTTGTGTATCTGCAGATAATAAATATTTTTCCACTAATAGTGTAAATAGGCTTTTTTTTCCAGATTGGTTATTTTCATATAAATGGTAATCCTTGTCCCCCTTTTCTTCTGCCTTTTACCTGTTGATCCTGCTAGCATGACTCAATTCTTCTACTTTCCTGTAAAGTGAGACTGCAGTGCTGCAAGACTACTGATCTTTCTTCTGAACAAAATTGTCTCCAACACCCCACAGCAACTGATCTCTGGTTTATGTTACATACAATGAACTTCCCCTGATGTATTTGTGTTGTCACAATGGAGAAAGTACCAACAACACCAACTACTATGTGATAATTGGTTTTATTCCCACTCTCGCCTTGTCTTTTGGGAGATGCAGTTCTAGATGGGAGGAGAGTTTCTTCTCAGTGATATCTGCCCACAGCTTCGCCTGAAAGGCTAAGGTCATGTGGCCTTGACAAATGATAGTATTTTTGTTCTTCAAGCTTTGGTGAAGTTTCATGTTTACGATGAGGTGATTGTAGCCGTATTAGTGCATTTGCGACAGGAACAATTGAGTACTGTCCGTGATTAATTGTATGTTAGTGCAAATAAAAGTATCACGGAGAGTACTCATTGTTCATGTTTACGATGTAATGTTATCCACAAAGTACAATAATGTGTAATGTCTGTGTCCTCACAAAGCATGCTTGTAAATCTGTTTTTGCATGTCTTTGACACATTTTCCAGGCATAAATGGTTAGGCCAATTAACATCTGGTTACCAGAAGGAGTAGGTCATTGCTGGCTGAGAAGAATGCATGTTGGTAATCTAGCTACACAATCACATTTACAGGGTTCAGAATGGCTGTTGTTCATTCCTTGTGATAGCAATAAGGTTAAAAATGTATAGCAACCACGTTCCCCCGTTCTCATGCGCAAATGCATACACGTACATAGGCCCCACACACGTAAGTAAACTATTTGCACCATGTGTGTAAGGTACTGCCACGAATGTCAAAGTCAGAGCAATATTTCTAGTGCCAGAACTCATGTTTAACTGTAAACTGGCAACCTGTAAAGGTTTTTAGGATTCGTAGGCACTTGAGCTAAACAATGCTGCGTTTACAAGATTTTGAGTTTTTTTTGTGGTTTTTTTTTTTTTTTTTTTTTTCTGTACCTTTAATTGACCTTCCGTATTAGCCTGGTATAGGCGTTAACAGAAGTTTAGAGGCAGAACCCCTCCCCCCCCCCCCCCCACCAAAGTCAAGTTCAGGAGAGGAGCTTTTGCGCATAACAAAAGCCTGACACTTTTAAACACCCTCTAAAGACTTGCACATGAGCCTATGCCCTAGGTGCATTTGGCGCTGGAGAGTTTTTTCCTTTCATTGGCCACAATAAATTAATATTCTGTCCAATTAAATAAACACCCAAGATCTTGATATGCCTAAACATGCTTAAACGCACGTGCAAAAATGCAGCATAGGCACGTTTTTGAAGCTGCTTTTCTCCTGTCAGGGGATTTAAAACATGCTTCACTTTGCATCTGCGGTAAAAATTATACCCCTCATTGCATTATACCCCCTGTGCAGTACTGCCACTATCACAACAGCCATGTAACTCAAGTGTGGTAGCGCAGGCTTTACATGGTAAAGGGATCATTTTACACTTTTGTTACCCTCTGAAAGGTGATCTGCTGTGAACTGCTTTTCAGAGGGCTTTTGACATGTGGCTGGGAGGCAATATGTTACCTGCTCACCGCCTCTTTTGACTCTGAACAAAACCCTTGAATGTGCGGTGTTCAGTGGCAGTACTGCCTGCTGGACACGACAGTGGAGTGTATCTTTTACCATGAAACGAACTAGACCTTAGGCTCGGTTCACGCTATGTGGTTTGGTTGTAGGTGCAGGAATCCCATCTGTTCCCTTACCTTCAGCTGCCCTCAGCTGAATCGCGCTGCTTTTACGAGATGCACTGGGCTGCCATTTATTCTGAACAGCACCCCCCACTCGTCTCGGCCCGTAGCTTGATTGCGGGTGCAGGAACTGCAGGGAAACTGCATGGTCCTTTTGACCATGCAGTTTCCCTACTGCAGTGTTTCCAAAAAGGTGCATGCACCTTTGTTGTGCAAACAAAATCAAAAAATGGGGGCACAGAATAGCATTTCAGAAGCCATCTTTATATCCTGTTTTTGCAGCTTAGTATAGTTTTCTTAGCCATGTAAACAAATGTGAAAAGTGAATGTCAAAGAAAAGCAGAACCCTTTTTTTTTTTTTTTTTTTTTTTTTTTTTTTTTTTGTTCTGCCAGTGTTGTCCCATGAAGAAATCCCCACCCTGATGAATATAAATCAAGGAGCAATCTTTTTCTTTCAGCTCTGATCTGTTATTTTTATGTGCCAATTAAAAAGGGAGAATGACTTGAAGAAAGCCTAACTGCAGGGCTGCGTACTGCATTTCTCACATTGGCTTTTGTTCCATGAGAATTTTAGAACTCTCTGCTCCAAGGAGATTAGAAGGCACAGAAGAGGGTGACAGCCTTGTGATTACAGTCGCTGTAAAACTGGGTGGAGCTATTAGAAAATAGTCTAGGCTGTTTAGGGCAATACTTTCAATTCTAAAGTATTGCTATGAAATATGTAGTTTAAGATCTAGATTTTCCACTTACTGTTATTTATGTGTTTATAATTGATGGCAGATTGATATTCGTATGTATGTATGTATGTGTGTGTGTATTGGGACACCTCTCCAAATCATTGGATTCAAACATTCCAATCACCTTCATGTCCACAGGTGTAGAAATCGAGCACCAAGGCATGCAGACTGCTTCTACAAACATTTGTGAGAGAATGGGTCGCTCTCAGGAGCTCAGTGAATTCAAGCGTGGTACCGTGATAGGGTGCCACCTGTGCAGTAAGTCCATCCGTGAATTTTCCTTGCTACTAAATATATTCCACGGTCAACTGTTAGTGGAATTATAACAAAGTGTAAGTAACTGGGAACAACAGCCACATAAAATGACAGAGTGGGGTCAGTGCATGCTGAAGTGCACAGAAGTCACCAACTGTCTGCAGAGTAAATGGCTAAAGACCTCCACACTTTGTGTGGCCTTCAGATTAGCACAACAGAGTGTAGAGAGCTTCTTGGAATGGGTTTCCATGGCTGAGCAGCTGTATCCAAGCCTTACATTACCAAGTGCAATGCAAAGTGTCGGATGCAGTGGTGTAAAGCACGCTGCCACTGGACTCTAGAGCAGTGGAGACATGTTCTCTGGAGTGACGAATCACACTTCTGTCAGGCAGTCCGATGGCCGTGTCTGGGTTTGGCAGTTGCTAGAACGGTACTTGCCTGACTGCGTTGTGCCAAGTGTAAAGTTTGGTGGAGGGGTGATTATTGTGTGGGGTTGTTTTTCAGAGGTTGGTCTGGGCCCCTCAGTTCCAGTGAAGGGAACTCTTAAGGGAGTCAGCATAGCAAGACATTGTGGACAATTCCATGCTCCCAACTTTGTGGGAACAGTTTGGGGATGGCCCCTTCCTGATCCAACATGACTGTGCACCAGTACACAAAGCAAGGTCCATAAACACATGGATGAGCGAGCCTGGGGTGGAGGAACTTGACTGGACCTGTACAGAGTTGTGACCTCAACCCAACAGAACACCTTTGGGATGAATTAGAGTGGAGACTGCGAGCCAGGCCTTCTCGTCTGACTTCAGTGCCTGACCTCACAAATGCACTTCTAGAAGAATGGTCAAATATTCCCATAGACACACTCCTAAACCTTGTGGACAGCCTTCCCAGAAGAGTTGAAGCTGTTATAGCTGCAAAGGGTGGGCCGACTCGATATTGAACCCTACGGACTAAGACTGGGATGCCATTAAAGTTCACGTGCGTGTAAAGGCAGGGCGCCCCAATACTTTTGGCAGTGTAGTGTGTGTGTACACATAGTGTATATATAACTTTTTTTTTTTTTTTATGGTGGGGTTCCCTTTTAAAGAACTGTTTAGAATAAAGGGGCGCAAAGGCTGCAGATTTTTAGCACAACTTGGTGACAGGTCAGTTGGCTGTATTAAGGCAGGCTCTGCTACTTGGCAATCAGTTTGCTAAAGGGTCCTGCAATAAACTTTTGTGAAAATTGGTATGTATATCGTACATCTAGAAACGGTTTATGGATATTTTTGTTTATCTTCTCAACAAAACTGGAATTTTCAGTACACATTGGTATCAGATAACCTTCATGGTATGAACTGGCTGCTTGTTGTGGTGTAGTTTTATTTATTTACTTTTTAATAGTTTTTCCGTAATATGAACAGTGTGGAGTTATCAAAGCATATGTACTAATTTGTACAATTTAATTGGCAGGAGGTAAGCAAGAAGCTCTCAGCAGCCACTTTATCTCTAGAGAGGCAATGGCAATAAAAAAAAAACACTCTCTTGGTAAATGCTTAGCTGTGAACATTCTGCTGATACTCTTATGTGTGTGAGCCTGGCCAGTTTAGGCCAAATTGATCTCAAGTGTGTAGACTTGCATAGCTAATATATTCATACATTTTGGTGGTAAAACCCCAGGCAGAAGTAAGGACACAACTTTGTGGGTTGTCAATAACAGCCTGGGCTCAGAGAAGGTAAATTGAATGACTGAATCAGAATGACACTCAGCAATGATCCATGGAGCAGTGATCCTGTGGTGGGAGGTGAGTATTGCAGAGCTGCTTTTTTTTTTCCTTTAACTGTATTAGACAATTTTTTTACTTTTAAAATTTTATATATTATTTAAATTTTATCTTTTTTAATTAAAAATTTCCAATACAAAAAGAGTATCTAATGCACACAGAAATAAAAAGAACTTCACCAATACCTAACTGCTCTCTGTCGTATACTCCGTTAGAGCCCCCTCTAATACTCTTCCACCTATATTCCAATCCGTTCCAGATATCTTTTAGTTGTTTTGAAAATTAACCAGCTACTCCACATTTTCCTAAATCTTTCTATTCTATCATCCTCAATATGACACCACTCCTCCATCCTGTAGATATTTTCACTCTGTTAACCCAGTCATTTATTCTTAGAGGGTCTGGAGCTAGCCAGAATTTGGGAATCAAGCCCTTAGCTGCACTGATTAGATGATTTAGTACCCTGTTCTTATGTAATTTTACTAAAGATTCAAATTTGTAAAATAAACATGTCCACAGGTCTTTCTGTACAGTAATCCCACATTTCCTGAATACAGGTATACCTCGGTTTACAAACTCCTCGGTTGACGTAAATTTCGGTTTACGAATGAAAATCCATTGAAAATAATGCCTTGGTTTACAATTTTTCGCAATACTAAGTGTATGTTGGTGTCGATGTTTAAATGCAATTGCCAGCTTTTTTTTTTTTTTTTTTTCTTCACTATAGCTCACAGAATTGGCTGTAACTTTCCCCTGAGTTAAGAAACTAAAAACATTGTTTCTTTTAACTTGGGGAAATAAACTAAAAGGAAACTTTCTTTCTTTTAGCTGGGGGGAAAGTGACAGCTGAAATCTCTGAGCTATAGTGAAGAAAAAAAAAAAGCGGTAATTACATTTAAAAACCAGCACCATATAAATTAAAAAATGGTGTGGGGGTCCCCCCTCCCATCCATACCAAGCCCTTCGGGTCTGGTATGGATTTTTAGGGGAACACCCAAAAAACTGGCGTTGGGGTCACCCCCGAAATCCATACCAAACCCTTATCTGAGCATGCTGCCCGCAGGTCAGGAAACGGGGGGGGGGGGGGGGGGGGGGAGACGAGCAAGCGCCCCCCCCCCCCCCGAACCATACCAGGCCACATGCCCTCGACACGGGAGGGGTGCTTTGTGGCAGGGGGGCTCCCCCTCCCAAAGCACCTTGTCCTCATGTTGATGGGGACAAGGACCTCTTCCTCATAACCCTGGCCGGTGGGTTTGGCGGTCTACAGGCAGGGAGCTTATCGGAATGTGGAGGCCCCCTTTAACAAGGGGACCCCAATATCCCGTCCTCCTCCCCCATGTGAATGAGTATGGGGTACACATGGTACCGCTACTTATTCACAAAAAACAAGTGTAGTGTGAAAAAAGACAGGATACGGTCTTTGACAAGTCCTTTATTAAAAGAAAAAAAATAAAAGAATGTCCCCTGCAGTAGATCCAACGTCAATCACGATGTCCACCGCCGCCCCGAAAAAAGAATAAATAAAAAAGGCTCTGCTTCCGACGATGGCCCCTGGCTGTCTGCCTGCTCAGGTGGTTTGACAGTTCTTAAATATGTAAGGGGAGGGGCCACCCGGGGACATCACGCATGTGTCCCCACCCTATGTCACATCAATGATTTCACATGGGGTGGGGTCACACGGGTGATGACCCCGGGTGGCCCCGCCCCTTACATATTCAAGAACTGTAAAAACACCAGAATTTTTCGCTATCCGAAAAGTCCCACAGAATGCATTACATTCGTAAACCGAAGTATGCCTGTATATTGTAATATTCCCTTTCAGCAATCCTGTATTTTTGGGCAATCCCACCATATGTGTACCATTGTTCCCTTTTCCCCACACCCTCTCCAACAAAAAGGTGAAACGTCTACTTGCTGTTGTCAACTGTGCTCATATTTGTTACCTCACATGTTAAGTTAAATATTTTATTCTTTTGTTGCTCATTCAATTTTGTTCCAAGCTCCCGTTCCCATTTTTCCAAGAACTGGAGAAGATCGGTACTCTCTATATCCATAAGAATCTTATAAATCCTGGAGGTGCTTTGTTTAGGACTTGTTAACAGTTTTTCAAATGGATACAGATCCTCTGATGTACTCAATGGTTGTGGGACTGTTCAGACAAAATGACCTAATTGGCCATACCGCCACTAGTCTAATGTGATTTTTTTTTTTTTTTGTCTGAAAAAGTGTGTAATTTCCCCTTATTCAGTATATCCTTTAAATACGAATTCTTATCTTTAATCCATTTCCCAGAAATAATATCCTTCCCTGGGGAGAAATTCTCCGTTCCCGCCAAGGGAATCATAACTGAATGAAATTTACATCCCTTTTGCTTATACATTCTATCCCAAACACTTAAAACTTTCTTTGTCAGTGGCCTAATATTCGCATCTAATGTGCGGAATTTATGTGGTACCCAAACCATCTTCCCTAACTGTGCCTTACTCAGAATCCCTTCCAAATTCACCCAACCTTTCCCTTTTTGAGTTAAATATCCACTCTATTATTCATGATAATATCACCGCTTGATAATATTTCTTAACATTAGGCATTCCCAACCCCCGTTTCCTTTTGCCCTACACAATACATCATAGCTAATTCTCAGTTTCTTGTTTGCCAAAATAAACTTAAGTATCATCTTCTTTATTATCCTGAAGAAAGATCCTGGTAGGTGTACTGGGAGCATGTGAAACTTATACAGGATTTTTGGTACTATCACCCTCTTTACCAGATTTATACGACCTATCCAGGTAGTTCCACATTTTGACAGTCTCCCCAGCTCCTCTTTTATTTCGTTTGATAGTGGGATATAATTTGCACGGTACAGGGCTTTTATTGAAGGAGTTAGTTTTATTCCCATGTAGCCTATTTAATTTTCCCTCCAAGTAAATGGAAAGTCTTTTTGTAGACTCAGCTTCTCAACTTTTGGTATATTGATGTTTAAGATCTCTGACTTTGCAGGGTTTATTTTCAAATTTTGGTAGCTCACCGTACTGTTTTAATAGTCTCATTAAATTCGATAACGTTCTTCTAGGATTTACAATATAGAATAGCATGTCATCTGCATATGCTACCACCTTATGCTCCACTTCCCCTCTCTTAATTCCTGTTATGTTTACTCCCCAGGACAGGTTCCAAGGACAAAACAAATAATAAAAGAGAGAGTGGACATCATTGTTTAGTTTTTCTTATACATTTTAAAGAACTGAGAGACCTTAACCACTGCTGACTGAGCACTATAAAGCCACCTTAACATTTTAGGCCCTATTCCTAAGACCTCTAGCTTATCACTCATGAAACCCCAGTTAACCCTGTCAAAAGCCTTTTTGGCGTCAATTGACAGGATTAATGTCTCTCCTTTTACCCTTTGTAGGAGTAGCAATGATCTCAGGCCATTGTCCCTACCTTCTCTTCCAAGAATGAATCCTACCTGATCTAGGTGTATCCACTCTGGCATAAACTCCTTCAGTCTGGTTGCCAATACCTTAGCGTACAATTTTGGTGTCAATGTTTAGTAAGGATATGAGCCTTTAACTGGCACACTATGTGCTATCTTTCCCTTCTTTTTGTATAATAGTTACATGTGCCTGCAATGATTCCTCCCTCATTTCCAGCCCCTCCCCTATTGCATTCATGTAACCACACATTTTAGGGACTAAGATATCTCAAATTTTTTTTAAAATAACCCACAGTATATCCATCTGGGCCAGGGCTCTTTCCTTTTTAGCCATATTTTTTAAGGCCAAGGTGATTTCCTCTGGGGTAATAGGTCTCTCTAGGGCCTCT